ATATAGAATAAGAATTCCGATTTGTTTCTTTTTTTCAAAACATTTATTTATGTTCACCTACTTGAAAGCAGAAAGAGAGAGAGGAAGATAGAAAGGGAAAGAGAGAATGGGGGAGAGAGGGAGAGAGAGAGAGACAGTTTTCTTCTACTTGCTGGTTCACTCTCCAAATGCTTGCAACAGTCAGGGCTGGGCCATGCCAAAGCCAGGAACCCAGAAGTCCATCTGCATCTCCTACATGAGTGGCAAGGGCCCACGTATTTAAGTCATCATCTGCTCCCTCCTAGGATGCATTAGCAGAAGCAGATGAGAAGCAGAACAGCCAGGACTCTAACTGGCACTCTAATATGGGATGTGAGTGTCTCAAGCAGTGGGTTAATTGGCTTGCCACAAGGCCTGCCCCAAGATTCGTTTCTTAAGAATTAAAGTAGGAAAAGATCAAAAGGAACTCTGTTTGAGTCTGTTTGGGCTCAGAAAAAGATACCCCAAAGTATGGTGCCATGTTCTACTGAGTACTTTGAACTAAAGGAGATTAGAAGAGCTTAGAAGCAAAACCTGTCTGACCATTCCCTGCCCTCCTGTCTCTCTCTCTCTTTCTTCCCCAAAGTGAGTCACAGAAATCAGAATTCCTCTTTCCCAAGGTGAGTCATTAAAAAGTAGAACTCCTCTCCCCTCAAACCAGCTCTAAAACCTAGCTCCTCATTCCAGAAGAGTCCTGCCCAGTACCTGAGAGGAAAAACACTACCAAGAGAGGCTCAGAAGATTTGCCAGGTTTCACCCTTAGCTGAATATCATTAGATCATGTCCTTTCTGTCCAATCCCATTTCTACCCAGCTGCCCATTCTTCATTGAAATCAAGCATAATAGCAGTTTTCCTTGAGTCTTCGGGTTTTCATTTTGAAGGTTCCCATGTCACAAAAAAATCCGAATTAATTTCTTTATGTTTTTCTTTTGTTAACTTGTCTTTTGTTTTAGGAGTGTCAGCTGTGACCCTTCTGATAGGTGAATAAGATATCAAACATTTTTGCCCCTCCAAGTTACATACACTGGTGGAGAACTTTGGTGTGTATATCAAGGTGTTTATTTTTTTATCCTTCTAGTCAACAGCATTGAGTCCCTTTTCTGAGGCAGTCAAGGGGAAGATGAAGAAAGATCTATTCTTACTAATGAGTTCCTTCTGGTGATAAGATCCACAGAAATAGATAATTATAGCAGAATAGGATAAGCAGAAATACACAATCATGCCCTGAGAATTTGGACTATAGCAAGATGGTCCCAGCTGATGGAAAGGAAGGGAAGGAGAATATTTTCCAGGAATATAATGTAAATCAATAAAAAAAGAAAGCTTATTTATATCTTGTTTCATCAATATCCTCACTCACTTCCTCTCTATCATATCACTTTGTGCTAATAAATCCATCCACAAATATCTCAGTGTGTATCTCTAAAGGACAAGGGCACCTGCTTTTGAAATAACAACAGTATCATTCTCACATCTAAAATATTACCAGTTGTCTTCAAATATAATTGGCATTCAAATCTCCAATTTCCTGATGTCATGAATTGCTTTGTTTTTTAGTTTAAACTGGGATACAGCAAAACTCATTGCTTATAATTAGTTGATTTGTTTTTAAATGTCTCTCTCTGTCTCTTTTTTCTTCATCACATATTTATTGAAGAAGCTCAAGAATGAGCAGAGTAAGATGAATAAAAGGAAAACAGGGAAAGAACTCTGGAGAACTGGGATGTCAAGGGCAAAAACAAACAAAAAACCCAAACAAAACAAGTAATGAGGTGCCCATTGTTTCTTTTAAATATAAAAACTGTGAACATTCTTATTCTAGAATATTGCTCAGTATACACTATCTCCTTACAATGCCCTTTTTTGTATAGCCAGTAAAGCCCTGAACAAGGCTCAGCTCTACAAATTATTCTGCCACTTCTCACTCTGACATTGTCTGCCTTCTCCCTTGAACTATATACCAACAATTATATATCAACCAGCATTTTCAGGGCTGGGCATATATGAATATGTTAAATCAAATCTCTGCCTTCAAGAAACTCATTGTGAGGTGTTTTAGTGAGAATTGAGGTGATGTCCATATTCTAGCCTATAAATGTACTTTCACCCATATAATTTTTAGTCAGAGTAATAATAGGCTCATTATTGCTTAAGACATAAGCTGTAAAGGAGAGCTAGAAAGTTATATTTATTATAGAAATTAGTAAGTAGTCTTGATTTTTTTATTTCCATTTAAAGATGGAAAGTACAACCATGTTTAGGTTTGCTTCACTGTGTGTTTTATTGCTCTTTCTGGCTTATTATGTCATGAAAAGTCATGACAAGACCAATTTTAGATTAGGTAATCAAATAATTATTATAGCTAGTATTCTGTGGTTCATGCTTTACTCTTTATATTACTATTGAAGTAACTGAAGCAAGCAACACAAAAATGTATTGTCCAGTTATATTGTTAAATGATGTTCTTGACTGTAGAAAAACACTAGTACTCTTTCATTCAGTTACAGGGCTGTCAGTATTTCCTTGGGTTTGTTACTAACCAATAGAAGTAGAAAATATACCTTCATATTCAGCTTGTCAGGACCTAATACATTATTTATTTATTTATTTTTATTTTTATTTATTTTTTATTTTTTGACAGGCAGAGTGGACAGTGAGAGAGAGAGACAGCGAGAAAGATCTTCCTTTGCCATTGGTTCACCCTCCAATGGCCGCCGCGGCCAGCGCACTGCGCTGATCCGATGGCAAGAGCCAGGTACTTATCCTGGTCTCCCATGGGGTGCAGGGCCCAAGTACTTGGGCCATCTTCCACTGCACTCCTGGGCCACAGCAAAGAGCTGGCCTGGAAGAGGGGCAACTGGGACAGAATCCAGCGCCCTGACCAGGACTAGAACCCGGTGTGCCGGCGCCACAAGGTGGAGGATTAGCCTAATGAGCCGTGGCGCCGGCTATAATACAATATCTTTTTAAAAAGATTTATTTATTTATATATTTGACAAAGAGAAAGAGAGAGAGAGAGATTTTCCATCAACTGGTTCACTACCCAAGTGGCCACAAAAGCTGAGACCTGTCCAGGTTAAAGCCAAGGAGCCTGGAACTCCATCCAGGTCTCCCATGTGGATGACAGGGGACCAAGCACTTGGGCCATCAATCACTGCTTTCCCAGATGCAGTAACAGGGAGCTGGATCAGAAGCAGAGCAACTGGGACTTGAACCAGTGCTCTGATAAAAGATGCTGATGTTGCAAGCAGCAGCTTAAGTCACTACACCACAACGCTGGCCCCTGGAATCTTGTATATAGTGGGAAATAGCAGATAACATATGTGCTGGCTTTCTACTTTCTGGCTATATGGTCAAATCTTTCTTTTTTCCTCTTCCTTGTGGTGCTGCTGCAAGAAAAGCAAAGGAGATATTATGTGCATAGTGCTTTGCACAGAATGGCAGTATACCAATGTGAGACTTTATAATTATTTATTAAATAAATGAATTCAAAAATTATAAATTCTGCCATTGCCTTTTACCTCTGCCCTATCCAAATCCTTCCAATATTTCCAGACAATCTTGAATAGTATCTCCTTTACCATTCTTTCAAGAATCATATTGGGATGGGGTAGGTATTTAGCCTAGCAATTAAGATGTCACTTGGAATGCCTGCATTCCGTATTAAAGTGCCGGAGCCAGCGCCGCGGCTCACTTGGCTAATCCTCTGCCTGCGGCTCCGGCATCCCACATGGGCGCCGGGTTCTAGTCCCGGTTGCTCCTCTTCCAATCCAGCTCTCTGCTTTGGCCCAGAAAGGCAGTGGAGGATGGCCCAAGTGCTTGGGCCCCTGCACCCACATGGGAGACCAGGAGGAAGCACCTGGCTCCTGGCTTCAGATTGGCACAGCGCTGGCTGTAGTGGCCATTGGGGGCAGTGAACCAATGGAAGGAAGACCTTTCTCTCTGTCTCTCTCTCTCACTGTCTAACTCTGTCAAATAAAAAAAAAAAAGTGCCTGGGTTCAAGCTCTGTACCTGTGTCCAGCTTCCTGCTAATGTGCATCCTGGGGCGCATCAGGTGATGGCTCACATGTTTGTATCCCTGATATTCACGTCAGAGACCTGGATAGAATTTCTGTCACTTATCTTTGGCCTGGCCTAGCCTAGCCTGGGAAGTGAACTAAGCGGTGGAAGCTCTCTATCTCTCCGCCTGTCTCCAACTCCCTGCCTCTCAAATCAAAAAATTGTAAAAATCATACAAAGCTGTCTTAAACATCTTAACACTAAATTATGCTGCCTGAATGTTACTCCTCCCGGTTGTAACCATAAGTTCTTTTTTTTTTTTTTTTTTTTGACAGGCAGAGTGGACAGTGAGAGAGAGAGACAGAGAGAAAGGTCTTCCTTTTGCCATTGGTTCACCCTCCAATGGCCACCGCGGCTGGTGCGCTGCGGCCAGTGCACCGCGCTGATCCGATGGCAAGAGCCAGGTACTTATCCTGGTCTCCCATGGGGTGCAGGGCCCAAGCACTTGGGCTATCCTCCACTGCCCTCCCTGGCCACAGCAGAGAGCTGGCCTGGAAGGGGGGCAACTGGGACAGAATCCGGCACCCCGACCGGGCCTAGAACCCGGTGTGCCGGCACCGCAAGGCGGAGGATTAGCCTAGTGAGCCACAGCACCGGCCTCCATAAGTTCTTAAACACTAGACAGGTCTTCTACAGAAGTGATGCCAAAATATTTAACAGTCAGCTGTACCAGGCATCAACACTTTAGTTTTTCAATAATGGAGATGTGTAAAAGTCGTAGAGAAGAAATGGAGGGAGGCCAGCCTGAAGCAGTGGAAGAAGGGCACTCATGGGACACAGGGTAGAAGTTATTTGCTGAAAAGAACTTAAGTATTTCAATACTTTAAGTACCAAGAGCACTGCATGCAATAGGAATATATAGTGGATATAGGAATATATATTGATACCGGTCTCTGACACCTCCTATTCTCTATTTCTCAGATACTCAGAATACTTACTGATGAAGTGAGAAATTCAACCAAGAAACAGTTTTTCTTGCAGTTTCTCTACTTGTACAAGGAAGCCTCAAAACAAGAAAAAGAAGAATTTATCTGGTTTCCATGGGGAAGTGAAATTGTTGTGCCATGGGGTAATGGTCCCTTTTAATGCTTGGATGACACTGGGACTTTCAAAAAACATTGTCTATCACCTTTCCAATTTTTTTAATTTGCTTCTTTCTCTGCACTGAAAAACTTTCTAATTCAAAGGGGAAAAGCCAATGCCCTAAGGAACATTTTCTACATTGTTGCTGCATCCTTCTCTAACTGAAGCATGACTTCTGAGTTAAGTCTTAGGTTTCTCACAGGCACAACTGGGCTGGGACCAGTTACTCATGCCTGGCTGTAGATTTTCTGAACAAATTTGCTGGACTAGAAGCAAATGGCAAGAGGAAATTTACTTTGATTCGGTTTACTGCCATACTGAGTGTTTTTTGGAAAGAAGCTAAATACACAAATGAGTATTTAGCAGCACACTCATCAGGCAGATGGAATGACAGCGCGGAGACAAGCTTCACAAATGAAAAAAAGAACATTTCTTCTTCACATTTGGATGCCAGAAAATCATGAACAGAAACATACTTCCTATAGACACTAAATACAAGTCTTGTCACTTCCACTTCTATGCTGGAAAAACAACCCAAAATGGAGTCAGGAATTTTAGTGAAAAACTCTCACCAAGCCATTTAGTATAAACTTATCAAGGAGGTACTTTACTTCTTCAAAGGAAAGAAAAAGGTGAGTACTGCCAAAAGCTGAGGAACTCATATAAACTGGGAATCACACAGAGACCAACATGAGTCTAATATTTCTTTGGAGCTTTAATATTTTCAATATTCTCAATATCATATATACTACACAATTTCAGCCCATCTACTCAATAGTACCCCCAATTTGACTTACAACATTTTTTGTCATCACAAACTTCATAACATCAAAATTCAAATAAATTTAAAGCATTTGTTAAGTCATCAACCTTATTTAGCAGGTTTCATGAGAATCACAGAAAGAGAAGGAGACAAAAACAGAAAAGAAGTACAAAGAGAAGAAGAAGAAATGAAAGAAGTGGAAGAGGAGGTGGAAGATGATGGTATAGTTCAGATTTAAAATAATAACATATGTTCCCCCTGATCTCTGAGAACTGATAGAGCACCTAAAAGGAAACCTATAGAAGTGAAATTGACACTTCGAGAAGGGGTGACTCCAGCTGCCCTTGTCTTGACTCTCCAGGAACACTTTTTTCTCTTCTTTATACTATTTGTTAAACTCTTTACTTAACATAGAGTTAATCATATATGTATAAAGTCAATTGAAAATAGATCTCAGTAAAAAAAAAAAGAGTGGTAATCAGACAGGGAAGAGGAAGTTTGTAACTGTAAAGCTGTATAGTTCTGCATACATTCTTATGGACTTACTTTTAAGGGTACAGTTTAAAAACTTGTCATGGGACTCCAAATCCTATTAAGCTTGATGGTAAAAATGCCATCTTAAGTGTTAAAGTGATCATATTAAGTGTTAAAGTGAACATATAGATAGGATTAAGTGTGAAAGTGATCATATAAATAGGATCAAGTATCTGGTAATAATAATAGTTAGAATTTAAAAGGAGAGAATGTTCCACATGCGAAGCAGTTCACACAGCAGACTCATAGAATGGCAATTGCTTTAAGTAACACTCTGAACTCAGAATCAGCCCTTAAGCATGCTCCATGAGAGCATTTCAGCTGTAGAAAACCAAGACACTGTGGCAAAAAAAATGTTCTACATGAAGGATCTCTGTGAGTGAGACCTCAGCAGAAAGAAATGGCCATCAAAGAAGGATGTACTTTCCTCTGAAGGGAGAAGAGAACTTCCACTTTGCTTATAACCTTGTTTAAATACTGACAGAGTTTGTGGATTCGAAAGGCTTCCATAGCCTAGGCAGCTCATTTCAAGAGCCTTAGTGGTCACTGATGTCATCCACAAGAGTGTTAATTGTTAAATTAACAACAGGAGTCACTGTGCACTAACTCCCCATGTAGGACCTCCATCCTCAATGAGTTGGATTATGAGAGTTAACTGTAAAACTATCTCTCAAACAGTTTTGTGTGTGTGTATGTGTGTGAGGGTGTGTGTGTGTGCAAATTTTTGAAAACTTTACTTAATATAGAGTTGGTCTTCTGTGTACAAAGTTAATTGAAAATGAATCTTACAAATGGTGCTTGGAAAACTGGATTTCCACATGCAGAAGCATGAAGCAAGACCCTTACCTTACACCTTACACAAAAATCCACTCAACATGGATTACAGATATAAATCTATGACCCAACGCCATCAAATTATTAGAGAACATCAGAGAAACCCTGCAAGATATAGGCACAGGCAAAGACTTCTTGGAAAAGACCCCGGAAGCACAGGCAGTCAAAGCCAAAATTAACAATTGGGATTGCATCAAATCGAGAAGTTTCTGTACTGTAAAAGAAACAGGAAAGTGAAGAGGCAATGAACAGAATGGGAAAAAATATTTGCAAACTATGCAACCAATAAAAGATTAATAACCAGAATCTACAAAGAGATCAAGAAACTCCACAACAACAAGTCAAGCAACCCAGTCAAGAAAGTGGCAAAATACTTAAACAGACATTTGTCAAAAGAGAAAATCAAAATGGCCAACAGACACATGAAAAAATGTTCAGGATCATTAGCAATCAGGGAAATGCAAATCAAAACCACAATGAGGTTCCACCTCACCCCAGTTAGAATGGCTCACATGCAGAAATCTACCAACAACAGATGCTGACGAGGAGGTGGGGAAAAAGGGACACTAACCCACGGTTGGTGGGAATGTAAACTGGTATAGCCACTATGGAAGTCAGTCTGGAGATTCCTCAGAAACCTGAATATAACCCTACCGTTCGACCCAGCCATCCCACTCCTTGGAATTTACCCAAAGGAAATTAAATTGGCAAATAAAAGAGCTGTCTGCACCTCAGTGTTTATTGCAGCTGAATTCACAATGGCTAAGACCTGGAATCAACCTAAATGCCCATCAACAGAAGACTGGATAAAGAAATTATAAGATATGTACTCTACAGAATACTATAAAGCAGTAAAAAACAATGAAATCCAATCATTTGCAACAAAATGGAGGAATCTGGAAAACGTCATGCTGAGTGAAATAAGCCAGTCCCAAAGGGACAGATATCATATGTTCTCCCTGATCTGTGACAACTGAGAACTTAAAAGGAAACCTGTTGGAGCACTCTGGCCTCAGAATCAGCCCTTAAGGCATGCGGATCTGGCTGAAAAGCCCATGAGAGTATTTCAGGCATGGAAAGCCAAGACACTCTGGCAAGAAAAAAAAAAAAAAAAAAAAACACCACCTAAATGAAAGATCTCTGCGAGTGAGGCCCAGTGGAAAGACCGGGTCATCAAAG